GTTTGTTGCCGATCTTCTCGGCGCTTCCATAACTGCTCCAGGGGAACAAAAACGGTTGCTCGGTGGTGGTAAGCCCGAAGCTGTCGCGCACGCCGACGGACACGACGTGGACGACGCCGCACCGCTCTGCGAAGACGACTCCGCGCTCGGCCTTGGTCATCGCGGTCAAGGCGTCAATTTTCGCGGGGGTCGCGTTGTCGTAACAGGCGATCTATCTGGCGGGGAGAACAACCCGCCGCCCTCGAGCGGGCGCCCCTTGCGCGGCGCGTTCAGCACGACCCCGCACGCAAATTTGATACACGAAATCAAAATAGTGCGACAGAAACCAAGAATAAACAGAGTGGCCTTTGTGTTTGGCTTCCCGGGGGTGGGCGGAAAAACAACGGCTACGGCGGCCGCGGCGTTCACCCGCCAGGATGCGTCCGCGCTACCGGCGCATGAATCGCACGCGCGCGCCGCAACCTGTAGGGGCGGTCCAGGTCTCCACCCCCCCTTCCCTCCCCAAAACGATCCTTAACGTTATCCGGGGGGTTAAACCCGGGCGACGAGCGCTACCCTGGAGAGAGAAGAAAAACGCTCACAATCAACTTGTGGCTTGTCGAACAAATGTTTGTCATGCAGATGGCCTGACAGCCGCCCGCGGCCAGCTCCAGGCGAAATGCGAGGACGCGGGGGCTCCCGACTGCTGGCCGTGCGCATTGCCTGTCGCTCCAGGAACACACAGCGCTGCACGCGTTGCCCATGTCCTTTCTTGGGAAACAAACCGAGGCAAAAAGGGCGAACGAACCACTTGCCCGCGCTTGATCAAGGGGCGCGCGGACAGGCCAAGGAGACGCGGAATCCTTCTCCAACGTCCTGTGCCCGCGCGTCACCGCGACGGCGGCTGCCGAGGAGAGACTTGACCACCGCGCCGATGTTTTCGGAGATGGCCTCTGCGCGGACCCTGGGTGCCCGGAGACGCCAGGCCCTTTGCGGGCTTGGCGTTTCGAAACTAATGCGCTCCAGAACGTGGACATGGGAATGGTACTGACGTGAATGTTGCTACAAAGAAACACGCGACGAAATTCCTGTGCACCTGCGCATCAGCATCGACACTGGCATGCGCATTCCCACGCACGGTACAAACAAATATGCATGCACATCCTCGCGCCCGACGACACGCTCGGCACAACCAGCGTGGTGCTGCCACCTTTTCACGGGGGAACTGAAAACGCGTAGCGCGTCGCTGCAAGCAATGCCCACCCAGCACATGGCTGGTTGTTGGGCACACGCAGCGCGTGGCTGCCACCGCGCAGCGTGTAGCTGGGACGCTCAGCGCGTAGCTGGCTGCTGAAGGAGAGCGGTTTCTAACTGCATCTGATCCGGCGTATGGCTGAAAATGCGCAGCTTGTCGCCGCAACGCCCAGCGTGAAACTGATTGCTAGGCACACGCACGCAACGCACAGCTGCCAACGTTTCGGCGCGTAGATACAGACATCCAGCATATAGCTGTTCGCTGGGCGTACACCGCGTGTAACTGCCACCGTTTCGGTGTGTAGCTCAGAACGCGCAGCGTCCCGTTGCAACGTCCAGCATGTGGTTGGTCGCCGATCGCGCGCAGCGTATAGCGGCAACGCTTCATCAGTAGCCGAACACGCGCAGCGTGTAGCTGCAACAGCACGCGCGTACCTGGGGGCTGTGCGTGCGCAGCTTTCAGCAGCATCTCTTTCAGCGTGTAGCTGAAGACGGCGTAGCTGGAGGCTGCACAGTACTACGTGCAACCCACATTGTTTTTGTACCGCCGCATTTTTTTCTAACGGAGCGGGAGCGAGTATACATACACACGCACATAAAGATGTATATGTACCCGCGGGCTGATTGACGAGTCGGGGCCGGATACAACATTGAGAACCAAGTTCGTTTTTCGCGGTGGCCTGTGCTGGAATTTCGACGAGCTCCTAAGAATCCAAAGATTCCGATGGAGTCGTAGGGTACAAGGGGGATCCATAGCGATTCTCAAAAGGTGAATCGCTTCCCCAGGGTTCGCAAGGTGAGCACGAAGAAAAAGGGCGAGGCGGGAGAGCGAGAAGGGAGGGGCACGAGGAAAAGGATGGCGAGGAGGGAGGGGCGAAGCTGGCGGAGGACAACCCCTATTCCAACCGAGGGCGATGTTTTTTGTTCCGGGGGGGGGGGCGCAGCAATGCCAATCCCTCGCGGTTAGCGAATGGTTGGGCGCACGTACCGTACACCTGCCAACGATGTAGCGTGTGCATTCAGGCATTCAAGAAATAGCTGAATGCTGGGCACACGAAGCGTGTAGCTGCCACCGTTTCGGCGTGTAGCTGAAAAGCGCGCAGCGTGCAACTACAACATATAGTATGAAGATGATTGCCGCGCTGCATGTAGTTGTAATATCTTACGTGTTGCATCACAAGCACACGCACGCAAACACACTCACAAACACACCTACACGCACACAACAAACGAACCATAGGCACCAACGTACGCAGGCGCACGCACGCAAACACACATTCACACACACATACACACATACAAAGACACACTCGCACCAAAACCATGATTCCAACGCTCTAGCATCCTACTCCCCATTCTCCTCCTCCTCGTCCTCCGCGTCGTCCCCCTGCTACCCCAAATTGAACAGTGTAGCCCGAAGGACAGGTCGCGCGATAGCCTCGCGACTCCGCGAGGCAGCCCCAAATCTGCCCTTGGGGCATCACAGGATGTCTGAAAAGACCGCCTGGGGCCCTCCCTCGATCGCCCCGAGTACCACTGGTCTTCTTGGTTGTCTTGGTCGTCGGGGGTGTGCACTCGGCTGCTCCTGGTGTGCTGTTGACGTTCGCGGCGCATTCGCGGTTTCCTGGCATGCCCGCGGCCCGCCGTCGGCAGGCCCAGTTCCCTCGTCTCGGGGCGGCCGCGGGCGGGCCAGGAAGCCAAGAAAACGCGAGGACAGATCAAGAGAAACAAACACCCTCAACCTCACGAAAACGGGCTCGTACAGACCAAGAAAACGAAGAACATCAACCTCACGACTGTCCAAGAAGAGCCTCAAGACGGCCCGTCAGACATCACAGACTCGCTGAAGAGCCTAGCTGCGGCCCTCCCTCGCCAGCCCTGGATTCAAAATGGTGCTCTTGGTATTCTTGAGTTGCTTGGTCGCTGCGTGTGCGTGTGCGTGTGCGCATGTGTGTGTGTGTGTGTGTGTGATGGTGCTTCCCTGTGTTGCCATGGCTGTCTTGGTTGTCTTGGCTTCCTGGCCTGCCCGCGGCCGCCCAGAGCCCCAAGGGGAAGCACTAATAGAGGAGGGGAGACGGGAGAGGGTGAGGAGGACGGGGGAACGCACGAACAGCAACGCAAACAAAGCGACGGTTGTTTAGCGTTGTTTGCCCAATTGTTTAGAGCGTTCAGGCCCGTCGCTGCGGATTATCCATGTTTTAGCGTTTTTTTTGTGCTCTGGCCGAAGGCTGTTTGTCTCCCCTGCCGTCTTCACTCCCATGTTGCGTTCATGCCGCCACTGTCCCTCGCAGAAGCAAAAACGCAAAGCAACAAAACAACGACATGCTCGAACACTGTTCTAACATGGGCACGAAGTAGGCCGGAGGGCCCGACGGCCCCAACAGGGGCACTCGGCCATCGGGCCCGGAGGCCCGACGCCCCAGGAGGGGCTCCGAGGACAGCGAGCAGTAGTATTGAGAGAAGCGGAGCGCTGAGGACTGCACGCCAGGAGAAGGAACTGAGGACGTTGCAGACGGCAATTTTGAACAATGCAACCACCTGTCGCAAAACAAAAACGTAGCTCAAAGGGCAACAAAACACAAGATTATTTGTTTGGGCGTTTTGAGTTCTCTTGATGGGACGTAAAAGCGTTAAACAATGGTATCCAACACGCACAGTTCAAGGAAGATAAAACAACGCCCTGGCTATATTCATGAAGAACCTAGACACAATCACACAGCACGAAGCACAGAGAAGGCGACGCAGCAGGCGTCTGGGCAAACCGACGGGTTTGCAGGCAACTCTGTTCCGACTCCCACCTGTTCTCGCTAAAGAGCGTCCGGCACTTCCAAAAGCCCCGAATCCCGACCAAAGTTAGCCCAAATAGGCCCCAAGGGGACCCAGTCCCATGGTGTCCCAAAGAAGGCCCAATGACGGCCCAAGAGAACCCGAATACGGCCCCAAGCTGGCCCCAAACTGCCGAGAGACCCCAATAGGGCCTCCGAAGGCGCCACACGACCCGCGAGCTCCCAAAGATTGCCCCGGAGACCCTCAGATGCCCCAGCGGCCCCAGGAGGCTCCCGAAAACTTCAAACTGCGTTCAAATCAATTCTCCTGAGAACCCACCCTGACCGGTCGCCCCCCGAGCTGGGGGAGCGCGCGAGGCGCGGAAGCACGTTCGCTCGACATGCCACGGCGCAGGCGCTTCCGGAGAGGGAGGGGACGGCGACACCCCCGGCCGGCGCCCACGACGCCCCCCGATTAGAAGACGTAGTCTGTACACAGGCGAGCTCCACTGCCCGCAGAGTAACTACTCGCAGATGGCCTGGATCGGCCGCAGGGGGGATTCACGATCCGCTGAATCGAGGTAGACATGCGGTTCTCTCGGACGTTTGCTGCTAGAAACCTTGTGAGTGGTGGGACGCGTTCGGTGACGGTGCATCTGTCCGGAAACCCCCATCCAATATGCCACCCTTCGGGTGTGGTCCTCCTCGCTGCTCCCTCCCCTCGGGTCGGACGAAACGGGGGGTAGCAAAGGCAGGACTAGCGAACCAACTCACGAGGCGTCAGTGCATCGAGGAGAGCGCCCCGCAGCGGGAACGAAACCAGCTGCACGCAGCAGATGTCGTAACCTCCCCTCCCAAGATCCCCCCTTGTCGTCCGACCCGACCCGATCCTCCTCCTCCTCCTCCTCCTCCTCCTCCTCCTCCTCCTCCTCCTCCTCCTCCTCCTCTTCCTCCTCCTCCTCCTCCTCCTCCTCCTCCTCCCCCCCTTCCCCGCGGCCCCTCTTGATGCGCAGCGCGGGGCGCTGGCGGGGAAGGGCTGGGGTCGAGAGGGATGCGGGCAACTCGAAACGCGCAAACGGCAGCGGACATGGGCGACGGCGACGACGACGACTTGGACGACGATGTCGACAAGGGGGGACAAGGAAAAGAGGAGGAAAGCGACGGCGACGGCAAGGTCGGGCGACATGGGCGACGGCGACGACGGCGAACAGATAGGAAGGGGGGGAAGGAAGAAAAGGGGAGGCGAAAAAGGGGGATGGGAAGAGGGGAAAGAAGGGAGGGAGGGAGAGGGCGGGAGACGGTCGGGGAGGGCAGTAGGAACGATGGTGGGATAGAACGACGAGGGGGCCGAGGACGCAGAAAAGGGAGGGGGAACGAGGCGGGGGACGGACAGGAGGAGAGACAAGACGAGGCGGGGAGACGCCGGAGGAGAGGGGGGGGGAAGCGGGGAGGGGGTCGAGGATCGCGGGACCGCAGCTTCTAAGGGGGGGGGGGTTCCCGACGACGAAGAAGAACATCTCTGGGCAGGCGGAGGAGGATGAGGAGGGGGAGGAGCAGGAGGAGGAGGAGGAGGAGGAGGAACAGGAGGAAGGAGGAGCAGGAGCAGGAAAAAGGGGAGGACCAAGGAGAAGCGACGATCAGGAAGACCGATGCGCAGGACGACCGGGGAGGGCAGTGGACGGAGGAGGATCGAGGACCGAGGAGGAGGCTCGAGAATGAGGTGGACTCCCGTGCAAGCCCCCCTTTTTCCCGTTCGCCCGCCCCTCCCTCCCGCCCCGCCACTGCGGGCCAGCGGGGGGGGCAACTACGGATGGCCAGATCACCCCCTGGCTGTTCGGGGGGTATCATCCTCTCCCTCCTCGTTATCACCCCCTCTTGTTCGTTATGCTTCCCCCCTCCATGCATCCATGTCTCTTCCTCTCTCGCTCTCGCTCGCTCTTGCGCTCTCCTTCTCTCCGTCGCGCTCTTGCATCCTCTCGATCTGTAGTAGCTGTATGTGTGTATACTGCGCGCACCTATATATATATACACATATATAGATGTATATGTATAAATCTGTATATATGTATATATGTATATATGTATGTATGTACATATGTATATATGTATGTATACATATATGTATATATTTGTGTATGTATACACACATATATACCAGGACCATCGCGCGCGCTTCGCGCGCACTCAAGTTTTAGCTAGATTTGGGTGGGCTAAGTCATGTAATATCATTGTGGTCGCTTCTTGCGTCCAGGGACGCCATTGGAGGCCCTGCGCAAGCCTCGGAATCGTATAGAAGGGGAAGTGCGGAAACGCAGCAATCATTAATTTCCTTTCGGTATTCAACGATTTGGGGCCCTCAAAGGCTTCCTGGGTTCTTCTTTGGGAGGCGAGAGGGGGTCTGAATTGTTGTCTTTTGTGCAAGGGCAGGCCTTGGGCCAAACTTTAGCAATCGAAAAATATAGGATCTCCATTTTTTGTCAGCTCATCGGCGCTATTCGGCGCTGTTTTTTGTTTGTGTTTCGCGGATTCTGTTAGCCGGGCCCCTCAGGGGTGTGGGATCTTCCGGACCCCCTGGGGGTTCTGGAGGCCTCCTGGAGGTCTGGAGAACCGTCGGAAGGGTATCTCGGGCTGCGCGGGAGCGTGTTTGGCCGTTCTGTCCGTTCTGGGGGTTCCTTGGGGTCGCCTTGGGGTGCCCTTGGGCGTCTCGGGCGCGCCCGGGAAGCCGGGGGTCGCGGTGCCGGCCAGGCGTCGCAGGATGCGCGGGATCTCCGAGCAGGAGTCCACTTTGAAAGAAGATGCGAGGAATTCCTTTTAAACCAAATTCCTCTATCTTCGAAGGCTGGAACCGGGAAAACGTGAAAGGCGAAACACATTTTTTATAAAAACTTGGGCATCAACGATGTAACCCTCTTTGGGCTCCCTCGGGACGGCTCTCGCAGCTCTCTTGGGCTGTTATTGAAACCTCGTCGTTTTTTTTGGGGGGGGGCCTCTCACGGATCGGGGGTGTGTTGGGGGCCGCTGGGGGGTCCCGCAAGCCTCTCGGAGGTCTCTGGAAGCCGCCTGCTCCCGCTCTTGGGCCCATCTTGGGCTTGTTTGGGGGCGGCATGGGAATGCCCCGAGCGCCCGCGCGACGACGGCCGAGTCTACTATGAGTCGCGCCGCTGCGGATTGGGCTTTGGTTTCGCGTTGCAGTCTTCCAGGGGCACCTGCACGGGGCGGCGGCAACTGGAATGCGCAGCGCGGCCGCCAGGGAGCAGAGGCGCTGCGATGCCCGACATTGCTACCGCTCAACCTACACGGCCGGTCATCCGCGCGTAGTGGATGATCTTCTTGCGGGCGCGCGTCATCCCGGCCACCCCTGGGCCATCAACATAAATTACGTTGGCGCCATCGGAGGTCTTGGCCCCGCTTTGCGCGATGCGGAAGATCTCCTTCTGATCTGCGTCGAGGGCAAGTCGTTCGAACGTGTCATTTTCTTAGCAAATCCCCGCGGGCGCTCGCGATTCCCGCGCGCGCTCTTGCGCCGCGCGCTCCGCCGGCAGGAGGGCGGCGCCCAGGCGAGGGGGCGGGGGGCGAACGCAGCCAGAGCGCAGCCGCGCAAGGCCAGGCTTTCGTCGACGGTGCGGCAGACGGTCGGTGCATCTACGGTCCTGTGGCGTTCTGACAAAAGTTACAGGGGTGACGTCCGGAAGCCAGTTCTGTCGCTCACGTCCAGCCAGACCAAGAATTGCACGAACATCTCGCAGATGAAAGGTGGGCTGCGCGCGATCCTGCAGGCCTCTGCGAGCGCAGCGGTAGCGTCGACATCGTCGGCAAGCAATCCCAGTTGCCGGGCGTGCCCCTGGAACGCAGGTGGAATGTCATCACGCGGCGCGCGCGCGACGCGCCCTATGAGGTGGCGCCGCCACTGGGAATATGCAGCAAGAGGAGGCGCGGGCAATGCAGTTCACCAGCCTGCGGCATGACATCCGCTGTCCAGGGTCGGGCTCGGACGAGAAGAGCACGGGCGCGCCGCTCGCTGCAAAGCGGGGGGAGCAAGGGAAAAGGGCAGGGCATTCGCGCGCTGTTCGCCTGGCCCGCGTCGCAGCGGGGGGCGGGGGGGCAAGGGGCGCCCCGGGGCTGGGCCTTCCAGAACGTCGGTTGAGGGGGCATTCCGGGGACGCGGGCTTAACGAAAAAATCCAGGGCTCGCGGGGATCTCGCGCACTTCCCCCATCTCCCAGGCCAATCCCGCCCGCCCCCCCCCCGTCGGGGGCCGCGCGGGCCGACGTCGCCGCGGCGCGCGCGATAAACGGGCGATGACGTCGTCGTGGCGCGCCCGCCGCCCCAGGCGCAGCCAGCGCGCGCGCTTGCTGCCCCGCCCAAAATACAAAGGAACTTGAAGGTATTTCAGTGACAAGATGAGCGCGCGATCTGGCGCGTCGGAGCTGGGCGCCGTCTCCGCGTTCACCGCGAACCCCGCGAGTCAAGGCCTCTCCCCCATGAGTCCAGACCTCCCCCATGGGGCAGACTCCCCCCCAAGAGCCCGGACGCTAACCCCGTGAGTCTGGGCCCCTCCCCCATGAGTCTGGATCTCCCCCTGTGACTCCGGACCTCTCCCGCCAATCCAGACCCCCCCCCCCCCCCATGGCCCCCGACTCCGACCCCGCTCCTCCCCGCCAGAAATCCAGGCCCCTCTCCCGGGCTAGCGCGGACTCCTCCCCCGTGACACCGGGCGGCCCCCCCCGCGATTTCGGGCGCCTCCCCCGTGAGGCAGGGCCGCCTCCCCAATGTGTCTGGACCTGTCGGACCTCTCGCCCCCGCGTGTCCGGCGCCCCCCATGAGTCGGGCGCTTCCCCCGCCATCGCTCAGAACTCATCGCAGTTGAATCCGGACTCGCCCCCCAAGACGCCGAACTCCTGGACGCCTCTTCCCCCGGGGGCCTGGCCCCCCCCCTGAGCCCGGACTGCCCCCCTCGTGAGTCCAGGCCCCTTCCCCGCGCATTCGGGCGCCCTCCTCAGCCCGCAGGCCCCCCCCAATCGAGGCGCCGCACGGTCGGTTTCCCGGCGGGCGCCTGGCCGGCGGCCGCGCGCGGGCGACGACGACGACCGCGCCGCCGCAGACGATTGCCATCGCTATGCTGGTTGAGATATCCTAAATAGTTTTCGTCGCCACGGCCGGGGCAGCCTCGGAATGCCGGCGCGGGCCCGCCTGTCATTTAGGTTGTTTTTGTTTTGGAGGGGGGAATCATTATGGAAACCTCGCCCGCGCTGACGCTGCTGCTGGCGCTGCTGCTGCCGCAGCTGCTGCCGTCCTTCTTCGCGCCCCCCCTCCTCCCCCCCCCTCTTCCTCCTCGCCCTGCCCCTCCGCCCCCTCCTCCTAGCCCCTCCTTCTCTGGTTCCCCCTCCTCCTCCTCCTCCTTCCCCTCCTCCTCTTCCTCCTCCTCCTCCTGCTCTCCTTCGCCAGCGTGATCCCCCCGCCCCCCCCGATCCCCCCCCCTCCCCCCTCCCTGCCCCCCCCCCTCCTGGCCCTCCTCCCCGCCCCCTCCCCCGTCCGCCCTTGCCCCGACCAGTGGTTCGGAGACGGCGAGGGCGGGCCCGGGGGCGAGAGGCGAGCGGCGCGCGGGCAGGAGACGCGCGGGGCCGATCCGGATGAGTCCCGAGCCAATTGCACGCACGAGCACCACGAGACCGAACTTCTGCGCGTCGGGCAGCTTCTTCCGCGCCCGGGAGCGCGACGGCAGCGCCCGCGCGTCGGCGCCCCTGCCCCTGCCCAGCGCCATGGAGACGCCATGAAGGAACGGGCCCTTGCAACGTCAGTGCGGGAATCGACGCGGGCGGGCCTCGGTAGAACGCACAGCGCCGCGACTGATGGCGGGGGCGGGGCGAGCGCGCGCGTTCTGGACAGAAGCGGCCTGGGGCGAGCTGGGACAGCGGTTTGGCCCGCGAGCGGTTTGGAACTCGAGCGGCCGGGAGCGCGAGCGGGCCGGGGCGCGAGCGCCCGTCGCCGAACGCCGAGGATGTGAAAGCGATCGCGAAACAGACGGGGCAGATCTGCAGCGCCCGTGCGCCACGCACCCAGGAAACG